TCGCTAATTCCCGTCAAACCGTTTTACTACAACTACAAGGACGCTCCAACACTCGAGATAGAAGAATTCAATCAATCGTTTCCAGAAGCAGCGTTCCCATATACTCAATATGTGAATAACTTCTATATTTATCCGCTATCTCTCAATTACAACAACCAGAAGGTCTTTTCTAAGGTGAGTTCTCACCACTACTCCCACAGGTAGACAAAAACCATCTTTGRGGGTGGGAGTAAAGTCCATTTATCTTGTACAATGCAGTTTTTTTTTTTTCAGAAAGATTTGCTTGTAGAATGTATAGGAAAATCAGTTTGATTAGCGAACATCACAACGATTTTGGTTCTCTGTTAGTCTGATTATCTTGTTCTGATTTGTATTTTCAGGCCAGAAATATCGCAGTAACGATCGAATTCCGAGACATTGACGCRCAAGATGCCATCCCTCTCAAGGTAAGACATGTCGAACTAAAATAGATTGGGTTTGTTGTTTACAATGTGGAATGTAGGTGAAATGTTCGTGTTTTTTTTATCAGTGTATCTATAATACCGATGGCACACCAACGCTAACAACAAGAGCTACAGCTCCTGTTCTCCACCACTGTACCTACCCCACCTTCTACCAAGAGGTATGTCTTAAACATCTCTAAAACACTCGGTGATGGATGATAGTCACCTATTATAAGACTTGAGAAACATATGTCTTTGATCAGTTGTTCTGTTGTAAATTTCTGTGATCCTTTATTCTATTGTGCGTTTCTTTGATCATTTGTTCTCTAGACGTAAATGCCCGTGATTGCTTCTATTGCATGTTTACTGACTTTATTAGTTCTTATATTTATATATATGTTTACATTTTTTCCTATATTTTGCATTTTCCAGGTCAAGATTAAGTTACCAACTCTACTTACAGAAAAGCATCATGTGTTTTTCACATTCCAACACGTGGCCTGCGACCAGGGGAAAGGTGCCAGTGGATCCGGTTCAGTACGGGGCAAACCTATTCCCGTAGAATCACCGGGTATGTAGTTGCAATTATACTATTTTGTAACAATAGAGACGAAAAATACATATAATGATTTTAAGTACATTCTATACTGTACAATTTTAAGCACTTTGACAACATGGCTCATATCAATATTTGATTTGACTGAACCACTGACTTGTTGGCTCTATATATTTATAGTTGGGTATGCTTGGATGCCAATATTGCACAACGGAAGGTGAGTATTGAACAACGAGTAAATAGTCCATCAAGCCATATGTTGTAGCATCCACCAAGCTGTAGGATCAATTTGAAATATAAACCGTTCTTTTCTTGACTTTCCGTTTTATCGAAACGACCATGGTCTAACAAGTCTAACTGTAGTTTATTAGCCAATCAGAAAGGTGTATTTTTTATAGTCCATAGTTTCAATATTGGTTGATTAAAACGATTAACAAGACAATACCAATGTTTGATAGTGTTCGCAATGTAGAGTATTAGTAGTACTAACACCGTCATTTTAAATTTAGAATCCGTAATGGTGAGCTGTCACTTCTAGTTGGCCAGCATGCACCAGACGAGTATTTGTCTGCGCAGTATGCAGGATTACAGAAGGTACAATATGTCACGAATAGTTGTCACGCAATGCTTTGGACGCATCGCCAGCAAAGGAGCGTGGAACGCGATTTTACAGAAAACTTGTTTTTGGCAGTTCAGTTTCTTTGGTGTCCGTTATATTCATGTTGTATATAGTAATGTGAGTCACGCCCTACGGAGGGTACACCTATAAAACACYTGTAATTACCTAGAATTTAAATCAGTTTTGTGACGTTTATTTTCCAGACCACAGGCACAGACGTTCGATGGGTTGACCGAGAAAAGCCTTTGTTTAGGATAAACACGAAACTGGTATCAACAGTATATACACAGGTGAAGACCGACTGGGATTTTTGATGCTTTGAAATCTGATAAAGGAAGTTGCTCAACCACAAGTGATTTGTTTTCCAGGATCCGTACGTTTATGGGTTCTTCTCGCACTGTCAGAAATTCGACGGCTCGCCATCCAGTGAAATCGAGAAAAGCAATACCTTGAAGGTTAGTGATGAATCATCRCCGTTACCATTGTCATTATGTCGGGTATCCTGTTTCAATCCATGACGTCACAATCATCACCATCATCATCACGCAGTGACGTAGTGACGTAGTCTCCTCGCAACCGTTCTTAGTGGCGGGTGGGGCGGGGGACAGGGAGCCCGTCACTAAGAACGGCTGYGAGGAAACTAGCAGTGACGTCATTATCTGATTATCGTAGTCATTGTATTCATCATTATCAATGCGATAATAGTGATTTAAAAGTACTGCAGATTATTCACTTCTTTAGTATAATAGTAGAAAGAAAACGTGATTACACTTGCCAGAACAGCAGTCTAGACGAGACAAATCCACCACTCKTTGGCAGTTTTATTTGCTGTCAGAGCAAACRCTGTAATTGTTTTCTTACTTTACTGTAGTTATGTAACCATTGTGTTATATTTTTAGCTATTAAATGCCGTGGATGTCAATACTGTGATCCAGTTCCTGCCGGTCATCTTTAATCAATTGTTCCACGTCGTACTCGTGTCTCACAGTGAGGATGTCGCGCTGAACGTTGCCAGGTAACAGACTCTTGATTTATTTAATCGATTGATGTGTTGTTTAMAGAACTCGAGTGCGTGTTTTATMGGGATATRTAKATTCGAGCCGCAGGCGATGMTAAAGTGCATGTCTGCRGATTGATTCAAACTGWTTTAAARCCTAGCAAAGGTCTATGATGCGACATTAAAACTGAAACCTTTGCTAGTGTTGGRTTGCGATAAAKCGCTGATGAATTTGAACATCAGTTCGTTATATCTGATATAGAACTGATTAATAAAACATYAGTGTTTTATCKGGATATAAAGGCYCATCATGTGACCCAATAGTTCGATGCTSATTGGACTAATAGCTCATGAATTATTAATGRRTTCTAGAATRGTTGTTAGGCTGATTAATTGATTSATTGATTGATTGATATAACGATTGGTCGATATGTCMATTAGTTGATTGGCTAATTCATTGACGTATTGATGATTCATTGATCTACGCTATATTCTTCGCTTAAAGAGTCCTTATTCGCATTACTTCTCAAGTCCACGAAGCCAAACGAATAGAAGCTCTCAAATCATATGTCAAGGTAATTGTAAAACCTCTATGTCGAAGATGTCCTTTTTTACTTAACTTGATCTCCCTGATCTTCGCCCTATTTAATTTGAAGTCTATAAATTTTTATAGTCTATAAGGTCTTCGCAATAAATGAATTTACTTACAATTTCCTTTTTGTTTTGTTTTACAGTATGTTTTTGTGACAGAACGAGTTGARAATTCAAATAAAACAGTTCACGAAGAACTCGCTAAGACACTCACGATGAACTTGAAACCAGGCAGTGATCCTGTAGTTGTCAACGATCTGATGAGGGTATGTTGACCATTGTGGGCTTCCTGTGGTAGCTCTTTTGATTGTTGGGCTTCCTGTGGTAGCTCTTTCGATTGTTGGGCTTCCTGTGGTAGCTCTTTCGATTGTTGGGCTTCCTGTGGTAGCTCTTTCGATTGTTGGGCTTGCTGTGGTAGGAAATTGATGGATTGATGGTGTTTTTTTTAGCATTCATGGTTCTTCTTTGAAATAATCGCAAAAAGTATGGCACAGACATTGGTGCAGTCCGATAAAGCAAAGGTAAATTAATATTAATTCTATTGATAGTTATTAACAAGTTAAGTTTCGAGTCTGTTATAATCAATATATAATGAATATAATGTATTTTTTTTCAGAGAATGAATCGAGATAACTGGTTCCCGGAGAGTTTCCACCGAAGTCTTGAAAACTTTGTCCAAGCKTTCCTTCCCCAGATTATTAAAAGACTGAAAGATCATGCTCAGATYGCTAAGGTTTGAATAACGAGACCTTACATCTAAAGTAGGATTGTAATGGAATTGATAATAATGTATTAGCACCAGTAACTTTTCTAACAGTCGTGTTATCGTTTGTAGGACGCCAATTTTCATCTTGCTTGTTTCACGAAGGTAAAAAATATTGTAATGATATTTARGCAAGCTACCCTTGTGGATTTTATTTAGTGCGAATGATGTTTGGCTTTGCTTTTTTATGTTCATTCTCATTTATATTTCCATTTAGCGTTTTTTGCGGTGTCTTGCTATTCGTTTTCATTTCTTATTTTTCTGCGTTTACTTCTTTTCATTTTCACTCATTCTCCTCGTCATCTTCCATCTTATTCTTATTTTCTTATTCGTATTTTCATTTCCTTGTCATTAAATGTAGGATTGCTTTACATATATGGATCGAGGGTTCGTTTTCCAGATGATTACGTATTACTCAGAACAATTCAAAGATTCTGACACACAAGTTAGTAGCAGGTTCACCACTTTATACTGCGCTACTGCGAAAATCGTATTGTAATTCTTAAAAATGTTGTAGTTGTGGTCGCTGTTGTGATTGTTATACCTGTTATTAGCTGCTTTTATTGATGGAGATTGTTGTGGTGTTTCTGCAGTATTAAGTAACTTAATGTTATTTTTCTTTGGTAGATGCGAGAGTTCAAGTTCGAATTTCTCCAAACTGTTTGTAATCATGAACACTATATTCCTCTCAACCTACCGTTGGATGTCAGAGGTATGTCTGTTTGAAAGTTTTGTTATTGTTTTGTGAGTTTATATCTAAAGTCATATCTGTATTGTTTCTGATCTTGTAGGTCTTGGTGGTGTTCACGAGTGTGAACTGTCAGATGATTTTTGTAAGCGTTTCTTTCTTGTTGGTCTATTACTAAGAGAGGTATGTACGGTTCAATCTATTGACTTTCATGAACAGCTGATTGATTGAATTGTAACTAATTAGTAACTAATGGGTTGACGAATTGATTGATTGAATTGTTGGTTGACTCACTAGTTTATTCATTGGTTGGTTGATTGATGGATTGACTGATTGATTGATGGATTGATTGATGGATGGATTGACTGATTGATTGATGGATTGACTGATTAATTGATGGATTGATTGATGGATGGATGGATTGACTGATCGATTTAATGAATGTTTGACAGGCGTCATCAGCTTTAACACAAGGTCGTCATATTCGTAAGTTGGCTATCAAAGTGTTACGCAATCTGTTAGTGAAACACGAACTCGACCCTCGATATGATAACGAGGCAAGTATGACAATTATCGCATTACTGAATGAGGTTAAAATGTTACTCTCATTTTTATGATTTTTGGAATTCACAAGGCGAAAGGTAATGAATTAATAATTTGACTTCCATTTTAGGCACGTCAATCACGTATCGCGGCATTATACCTCCCTCTGCTCACCATTCTCCTTGATCACGTGCCAAGGTTCCAAGGCAGCAACTATGAGCTTCACCCTTCTYTGTCCCAGTTCTCTCACGACTCTACGACCCAGGCCATCACGAGCGAACCCACGTCAGAATCGAATCGGAGCTCGGCGTATTCACAGGGCAACCTTAAAGTGAGTCCCAGTGATTCTCTTACTCCTGTTGCGCCTCCGCCTAACACCCCGAARGAAGGATCACAGATGGCACTCAAGATTCCTTTCGAAGAAGACGAGACCAAGGAACTGTTGTTATGTTTTATGTACATCCTGAAGAATCTAGAGCAAGGTCAGGGTCATCAGTGTGAATCATCATTGTTATCGTCATCATTATCATCATCATAATTGAAAATTATAATAAATTGTGATGATTATTATTCATCATTATCATTTATCGATTTTAACGATCGGGTTCTCTGCAGAATCGCACACTTGGGTCATGCGTGAACAATGTTGTGTATTAATTTGATAATGCTTGTGTCATTTCGGGGGGTAGAGAGGGGAGGGGAGGGGGTCTGTTTTTTAATTCTCCCAAACATACCTTAGTGTTTCATAACTGTATTATTTCATAATTCATTACACGATTATCATTAACAAAATATAGTGACATACTCTGTATTGAATAGCGATAACTAAKCCGCATCGCTCGATTTTATGTCCTCATCAGGCGTGATATTGGACTGGTGGCGACAAATCATGAGTTCAGCAGTGAAGAGAGCTCACTGGCATCCSACTGTACTGTACATGTTACATCAGGACAAGTACTACTCSAAATTTGCTGCAGTCATCGATATGTTTGACCTATTAAAGTAAGCCACGCACATTACTAGTTTATTGTTGAACTGAATGCTACATTTATGMGTTTGTTTGCTGTTAGGTTGGCTTTGAAGCACTTCAAATACCAAGGCAAAGCTAGTATCATGAAGAGCAGGTATGTCACGCATAGGCACGTTAAACAACTTGCACGATAAYGCTATACTTGCTACGGTAACGCTRTCCTTTCTACGGTAACGCTATCCTTGTCACGGTAACACTTTCTTTGTYACGGTTATCACTTTGCACTTTTTACACCGTAACGCTGTAACTTTCAAATAAACTTCAACCACTCAAGCATGTTTGGTAAATCGCGTTTGAAATCACAGGTACCTTCCATTTGAACTTTTTCATCCGTGTTGGTAATTCAATAGRTAACGGAACATAGTATTTCAACAAAAATAGGAATAAATGAGTATGTTTTAAAATTTGACTTTCTGAGCAAAAAGAGCGGGAAATCCAAATGGTACGCGCGTCAAACGGGAAAACCGAAAAGGCGGGAAATCGGAACGTGCGTGAACTGGAACAACCAAACAAGGCGGGAAATTCAAATTCTGCTCGCGTCTACCGAACTGAAAATGGCGGTAAAACTGTTAGACATCACCAGAGAATTGAAGTCCGATTTTCCAGGGATTTCGAACAAATGGAAAGTCCCCCAGATTCAGCGCGACCTTCACTGGCAGTCGCACTTATTCATGTCCCAGAAAGCTCTCATGATACTGACCGCAGTGTTAAAAACGATTRATTTTGCTTAAATAATAAGCTTATGCATGAGTTGTTATTAATCGTCGATAATGGTGAAATCCATACGTTAATTAACAAACTTACCTTTGTGAATCTTAACAGGGATCTTGAGTATCTTAAAGCCACGTGGCGAGCAACAAAGTACGATTRCATACGTCTTATCTTTGTCTTGTTTTCATGCCATTCATTTCTTCATTTAACCATTTATTCTCAGAATTAATATCCCTAATCATGATCTTATCCAGTCATTTCTTATCGTTTTTATTGTGGTTTCGTTTGTTTACATGTGTTTTTGCTTTTTTTGTTTGTTGTTGTTTTGCGTTTTGTTGTTGTTATTTTACTCTTTTTTCACGTTTTTGTTTTTGTTTTTCGTTTTTGTTGTTGTTGGTGTTGTTGTTGCTGCTGCTGCTGCTGCTGTTGTGTTGTTCGTTTGCATGTGTTGTTACTGTTGTTGTTACTGTTGTTGTTACTGCTGCTGTTGTTGTTGCTGTTGTTGTTTTACTCTTTTTTCACTCGAGATTATGTGTATGTGTTTCTTTGTATTTTGTCTCTTTGTTTATTTATTCAATTATTTTTTTCTCGGGTTAACTGCTTAGCAGCCTTATTTATAATTCTATCATTTCTTATTTTGTTTCTTTTTGCCTACTCTTTACTTTTGTGATCGTAGTAGCTCCACTGTATTTCATCTCATCCAGTCATTTCAGTAATCACATTCACTTGACCCAATACGCCATTTCACAGATAACCATTAGAAATTGAATAGTTAGTGARAAATCGTTACCACCATTAAAACAAACGGCCTAAAATTAGTGAAGTTATCATGTTGATATTAGGAAAATCCTTTGAAAAGTGAAGAAAATGCACCAAAATTTACAAAAAATGTATGGTGAGGTTTTATCACTTATTAAGGCATCATACATTACTTTGTAAAACTTTGTTAATTTGAGAAGCTTTATCTTCCCAAATTTTCAACTGACTATTCTCAAATTGAAATTTCTAATGTTGGGCTTTTCCTTACTGTGGTGGTAATGATTTTTCACTAATTACTCAATTTCGAATGGCAAAGTTGTCCGGTAAATGGCTTTTTTGCCGTTTTGTTGCCGTTTTGTTGTTGTTGTTCATTAGTTATCAATTGTGTCTTATTCTCGTCCTTATTTATTTATATTATTATTTTCTTTTTGTTTTCTTTTTGTTTTATGATAGTGATATGAAAAATCCACTCCCGGCTTCCAGTACAAGTGAGTCAACTAAGCAATACTTCGAACAGCGCTACAAGGGTCACTCGAGAAATCCAAGCCATGGTGAGCGAGGTTTTTGCTTGCTTTTCCTTGCTAGTTACAAGCTTTCATTCATCCATTCATTCATTCAATCGGTCGATTAGTCGGTCGGTCGGTCAGTCAGTCAGTCAGTCAGTCAAGACATTTATCAATCTAGTCTTTCATCCTTCTTTCATCCAATCCAACCATTGATTCATTCACCTTTTTGTACATAAACCATCCATGAAATCATTTTTCATGGATAATACACCATTATGCAGTCATATTCGCTTGATGTCATGTTCTTTGTTTCTGCATATATAGGCATAGATCTTCACTCACGTATCCTGATGGAAGGCAATCTGTCCAACGAGGTCGGTCTTATCGTCCTTGATTTAATAGAGCTATTCTGCAATCATTTCAAGGTAAGAGAACATATTTATCAATCTATGGATAGGAAGGGTTGGTAGACTTAGTTTACTGGCTTTTTTATATTCTTTAGTTCCATCTCGAGCAAGATGATGGTGACAACTTGTTAATGACGAAGGTACGTTGCAGGTTACATTATAGTGGTTGTTATTTGTACAAAATCATATCATTTATGGTCATTACTTTGTTGTTTTTCAGATCTTCAGTACGTTGATCTCGTTCCTACAAATCTCTCAATCCGAACTAATGATCAAGCACGTGTTTGCTAGTCTAAGGTCGTTTATCAATAAGGTAATTATGGTAACAGTACAACGCGCGCTATTATTGGTCAATACGACAACTTACAACATGAACAACATTCATTGGTTAATATAGCAATGTTACAACACGTACTTTCTTTGGTTAATATAGCAATGTTACAACACGTACTATCATTGGTTAATGCAGCAATACGCACTTTCATTGGTTAATATAATGTTGTTCTTGCTCTTGTTGTTGTTGTTGCTGTTGTTGTTTTATGAATTATCTTACGTTTCAGTTCCCTGTAGCGTTGTTTCGAGGAAGTGCCAACCATTGTGGTGAGCTTTGTCGAGAAATTCTTAGCTGTTGTAATTCCAAGCTGGAAAGTCTGCGTACCCAAGTAAGCAATGATGATGAAGATAAAAATAGATATCGATGACAACACGATAATCAATTATTAACTSGTGCTACTGAATATTTTCTGTTAGCCTCCTTYGAAGACTAYTCCAATGTAAACACGCWTTTTTGTCGTCTTGGTCATCCTGTGTTGATTATTTTGACCGAGAAASCWCCTCCCCRCTCCCGCAGCTTTTTGCTTAACACAGGAGTCCCGCGCAGTAGTGTTACATCCAAGGAGGCTAATTTTATTTCCTCTCTTWTACCYCGCGYMATGRAAAAGCCTCCAAYTTATCTGTGAATATTTTAACTGACAGGCATGCGCATATCTYTATCTCATGATGAGAAGCAACTACGAGTTTACTGGTGGAATGAACTGCGACAGAATACATTGGCAGGTATGTGGGCTTCCTGTKTGTRTTAATAAACAAATGCAACATATAAATCGACATGATGCCYGGACTGATAATGRTGTTACTCGAGCTTCSTGGCCATTRCAATAGAKTACCATTGCRAMTAATCCCCAGGACTTAATTCCGTCCATGTACAATTTASCAATGAGSAAGCMKACATCAAAATTTATCKCTTCCCCATTCCATTCTCAGGTAATAGTGGCCGTTTCGCGACTGATGCAGAGTGGCCTGAATCGACCTGCGGTGCATAATTCCTTAATTGCTTTAAAGAACTTCGCTAATGAAGATAAAGGAATGAAGGTAGTCTATTTGAATGCATAGTATTTTAATTCTGTAGTATTATTCCTTGCAGTTCCCCACTTTTACATTGATGTTTCACGGGATAGGCTTTTACATTGATGTTTCACGGGATAGGCTTTTACATTGATGTTTCACGGGATAGTAAAGTGACTTGCAGCAATCCCGCCTTTTACGTTAATTCATTTTATAACATTCTAGAACACAAGTTTTCCATCGGAAGTCAAAGACATTACTAAGAAGATTCATACAGTACTTCAAGCGACTGCACAAATGAAGGTATGTTTGCACGTTTTGTGCCCCATAAGATTCCTGTATTGGTATTTGCTAGTTTTTGACTTGAGATGAGATTTCAACCACTTCTGGGATTTGCTGCAAGGAGAAATAGGAGTGCGAATTTGATTTAACGCAAAACGTGAGAKAAGCTGATTTGGACTCATCGAAAAGACCCTCCCCTGCCCCTCCCCCTTCTATGTCCCTTCCGGACCCCTCTTTGGGAAACACTTATTGTGATAATTCTGTATTTAGAAATATAGATAGGCACTGAAATAGCATTTTCAAGTGTCTTTTTTGAAAAAAACATTTGATCGCTCACGTCATGTATTTTTTCGTCATTTGTGATTTGTTGTGTTGTGGACTGTATGACTAAAACGGACAATCGTGAAGGTTATTTTACGARAGCTCAAACAGTTTTTGCACAAAGACCTTTTTAGCGGAGCTCTCGATTCACAAACGGACAAACGGTAAGCACAAAAATATCTTTCCGAGTGACTGTCCTCAATGTTGCATGTAATCAGTGCGGACCAAATCCGATCCGATGACGTCATAGGATATTTAAATAGTCGAATTTTGGTTGATTGTTCATCTATCATTTCCCTGGTGCCTCTTCTTCAATTCTTTTGTRGTTAATCAACCAAAATATCGATAGCTACAATGCCATCGTTTGTAGATCGCTGACTTTATCTTGTATGGCATGAAACTAGAGGAAAAAGCTTTCARGTTTCCGTGAAGTCTAAAATCAATCAATATTGATTAAGTGAAGACTTTTACAAGTCTCTCTCGACTCTCTTTCTTTCTCTCTCTCCGTTGGCTTCGGTAATTCKTCGGAATTAATAGCGTTCGTTCGGGAAATTGCGTCGTCCGTGAGAAAATATGGAGACTTTGAGCAAGTCTATGAAATGCGCAGAGCTGAAGTCAAGAGTTTTTCTACTTAAGTTATTGCACTAAACCAAATCTAACATTAAAAAAAAAATACGTTATTTTTTATTTTGTATATCTGTCTATATTCAGCTCTTCTCAAGTTTTTAATTTCACGACGGAAGTTAAGAATCCCAAAAGAATGTTCAAATATTTGTCGTAAAAYCACAATTTATTTCTCCAAAAGGAAATCAAAATGCGATATCAGATTCTCGGATTTTGCATTGATTTTGCAATTTCTTTTCGTATGACTTTTGGAGTTGACAGGTTGTCTTTGTGCAAAGGACAGAAGATGTCACAGTCTGTTAGTAAGACGACAGATTTAAAACAATCTTATGCCCATTTTATTTCCGCATGTCTTTTTCCCATTAGTAATTTTTCATTTTTTCACATTTTTTCTTTCTTTTCATCCATGAGTGAATGATCAATTTTTAAAACATAWGTATTTTCCCACCTCGTCGCCTTTCAAATCAAAGGAATTTTTTACGAACTTTTTCTCATTCATATATTATGAGCTCGATACTTATATAGACATTCTTTTTCATTATAGCGTATCAAATTTAAATCCTTTTCGTCGTCTTCCTTGTTGTTACGTCTAAATATTAAGCGATATGCCGGAGGTTGTCTCAAACAAAGTATTTTTTACGCTATGGTCTTAGTTTTTTCACACTTTTCTGCGCCTTATCATTAATATATTATTTTCCCTTGACTTTATCATTTTATCTTGATCCAATTTGGTATCTCGTGGTTCCTTATTATTTCTGTATTCATATATCACGTTGTTTTCTGAAAGAAATGTCACAATTGTGTCATGTTGAGTTTTTCTTTCCAAGTGTTCCCTATTAATACGCTTTAAGAATATCCTCCAAACAGCTGGTGAGTTTATATTTATGTCTAGCGGCTTTTTAGCCCCCGCATTGGTCGATCTATACATGGGTTACGAACCATACACAAACACGCCTCGAGTAAGTGTTTTGAGGGAGTTTTATCGTTCGACTTGTGCGCTAATCTATTCTTGTTTCCCTGTCGACTAACTCTTCGCTTTGGTCAAGCAAGATACTCATTCATATTCGCAAAATAGACTACCCAAGAGTTTTGGGCGAATGTTATAGGCTGTAGTCAGAGATATTTTTTGCTATTTGAGTCAAAGGCACTGTTCCTGAGCTGAGATATACTGCGAGATATTTCCAGAGATGGAATTTATCGGAGCACGAAAGAAAAAGAGAAGTCTTTTTGGAATACAGGATAAAACGGACAAAAATCCCTGCAGAGAAGACTACGAATATCCCGCTCAACAGCTTTTGAACTTACCACTCGTCCTCGTGAATACCTCGGAATATCATCGTCCTTCAACGGAGTGCCCAAAATCTCCTATACAATCCCGAAGTTCACCGAATATTTTTCGGAGATCATCTACAAAATATCAAAGTCTAGAAGCCAGTATACCGACTTCACCGAGCTCTCCAATTGATATCCCAAGGTCTCCCGTTGAGTCCGTAAGTTCGCCGATTACTTTCCGAAGTTTGCCGATGGACTTACGAAGTATTTTTTCCTGAGTAAGAGTTGTTCTTACTTTATAAACAGACATGAAATTCAAATGTTTTTTTATACCGTTTTTTTAGGAACACGATGACATCCCAGAAGTCCTCATGGACCTTCAATTCAGCCTGGCTAAATCCTACTCGAGTACTCCCGAACTGCGCGAGGCCTGGCTCGAAAACATGGCGAACACTCACGAAATTCATAAGAACTTCTCCGAGGTGAGTGGCTGACTAGTGTTGTTCTTGTCACAAAATAACGTCCTAGTAAATGGATACTTTGCTTGTAGACGGCTCATTGCTACATTCATGCTGCTGCCTTGGTAGCTGAATACCTCAAGCGACAAGGTAAGTCCATATTCTTATTTCAACATWCTCGCTTCAATTGTTTATTTCGGCTATATTAAGAATTAAATGGATACTGGTTGACGTCATAACTACCAGAATGCTTTGCCTACTTCATCTTTTCTGTCCAARTGCTTCGAAGAATCTTCAAAGGAATAAAAATGCAAAGAAAAAGAAAAATTCGGAGGGTATTCTGGTATAGGTATTATGACGCCAAGATGTAAATGGGCTATTAGTGGTTTAACACGGTAAATGAACCGTTTAGATGCTTCACGCAGTTTGGCTTTTGCTGGAATAATCCTTCCGAAACAGTCATATTGTTTTTGTGGTTTGGGTTAATTTGYGGGAAAATATTAAAAACTGTATAGCACATTAATTTGGGATGATTTGTGTCGTAAGTTTGCTCACAAAGTAAACACAGAAAATATCTTGACACGTGTCTGTATATCTGATATAAGAATCGTCCTACTTTGCATAACATCAAAAATGTTGGCTTTCTTTCTTGGGAATCAGATAGATTAGAGATTATGTCTGTAAAAAATCAGTTGTAAAGAAAAATAAAGCTTGTTTACAATCAGTTTTGGCAAATTGTAAATGAACATAGTTGCGCAGTGTAATTTATCTATTCTGAAACTGAAATTGCATGGATTCACTCGATGCTCCAGCAATTTTGCTGCTAAGTAGTCAAGGTACTCTGCCTTGAGAATTGTTTTTGACTTGATAAAACGCAGCTGCGTGGATTGTTTTGAAGGAGTTACATCTCATTTTGAAACGGCTTTTGGTATTTTGATACAGAGTTCAACTGCGTCTGGAATTATTGCTCTTTTAATATCTCTTTGAGCAAACCTGTTGTTTTGTGATGTGTGCTGTTTTGTCRTGGAAATGAAACGAACTTTTGAGCAGTGATTTTGTGATTGATTCAGTGATATGCTGATGTAGTTGTAGCGAGTATAAGTAAGAATAATAGGGATGCACCTTCAGGAAGTCTAGTACAATGTGTATCAAACCAGCCTTTAGAAAAATCATCAGATTGCTTGAGGCACGTGTGCTGTCGGTTCTTCAAAAGAAATGGTAGCCACAACACGTTATCTCATATCTTCATACGATTTGAATTTAAAAGTTATTTTCACAATTGCTTCGAGGTTWATAKTGATTCAAMGCGGTTCTCTTTGTTGCAGGAGTCTACCCAGACGGCTGTGCGGCGTTTAATAAAATCTCCCCTAATTTGGTACCAGACGAGAGCATGATGAAGACGGACGAAAGYATGGCTATTGAACAGCGGTTTACWCTGGTAATAGGATTATCAAAATAATAATGATGATGATAATGATGGTGATGATTAATGGTGATGGTCAATTATCGTAATAGTAATCAGCATCAGCATCTTGATAGTAATAAATATTTAGAATGTTTCTATTTAGATTTATTAACCATCAAATAGTAATTTTTATACTTWATTTTGAATCAGAAACACCTTGTTGAGCTACTGGAGAAGAGTGCTTTGTTCCTAGAGCGAGCTGAACGCTATGAGGTGATGGGTGAGGTCTACAAGCTTGCTATTCCCATTTACGAACAGGAAAGAGACTTYGGGGTGAGTTGRTTGTCATTTTYCTTAATTTCCCTTYTATTTTTTCCMTTTYTCAGTCCTGTATTTCCTATTGTCTTCKYCTTTTATTTCTATTTATTTCCTATKTATTTGTTTCCATTTTATCTGYCYCATTCTTTATTCATTGYTTTTATCCTTGATTTTCTGGATGGGAATACATTGTTTCTCTATAAACTAACAGGAACAAATTTTTTGAACGGCTGCTAGAATCAAATGAGTCTTGGACACAATGGGTCTTTRACTCATCGTTTMCAAAATGTTCTCATTGTTTTAAATGAAAAGTCTTTTCAGTTCGTTTGTTAGGTTTCTATGAATGGTATCTTTATCTTTGTAGGGACTGGCAAGTGCATATGATAACCTTTCCAAGGCATATCGTAAGGTTGTKGATGTCATGGCAAGCGGTAAAAGGATGCTGGGCAAGTACTTTAGAGTGGCTTTCTTTGGCAAGGTTTGTTTTCCTTCTACTATAACACCCTTTTATCCGACCAGACGGTCGATTTATGTGTACTGAATGCAATCGTTCAAAATTTGTATATCAAGGGTTCCGTTGTCGTCCGATATTTCGAGGGTTTAGTTTCGCCTGTTATATCTAAGTAAATAAATCAAGTTGTTATTACGTAATCGTGGTAAATAGGGCCAGTTGATGACGTCATAAGATTCTCGTWTAGTGTGTATGACGTCATTCGGTTTTTGKCGAGCTTSTATTATTAGACATTGTTCTATTTTTGCGATTCTTATCATGAAATAGAGCATTAATGGCGTAACCTAAGTCTTAATTGTGTCTAAAAAGCTGTTATTGTAATTTACGTCAAGCAGTCGGCAACGCCTTCGTATGTACTAATCACTTTGTGGATCAAGTTATATGTTTTCTGTGTGTKTGTTTGCCTGCATCTCGTTCTATCCGTCTGTGATCTTTTCCTTGGGTTCTCCACATTTTCATCTTTCTCGCACTTCCGGCCGAGTCATCACGAAGACAAGCCATCTACCCCGTGGAAATTACCAGAAAATCGTACAACAAAACTAAAAGCCAAATATGATTTTTAGTGYCTAAAAAGGTTAACAATTTAAGTGGACTGCGGCTACGGTATTACGAGTACGTAACTCAAGGAAATCGGATAGTCTTTCGCTATACGGATTTTGGTCTACGGTATTGGTACGCATGTCCAAATCTCGGATAGATTTTCACTTTGAMCAACACTGATAATTCTATGCCTGCTAGCTCATTGTTAGTATGTTTGTCTGTTAGAAGTACCAGGCTAGTTACTAAGAGAGTATCAACAGATTTCTTACCTTTTGTAAATTGTATCGTGTATAGGTATTTGGTGACGATGATGGTAAGGAATATATCTAYAAAGAACCAAAGATAACATCACTACCCGAGATCTCTCACCGCCTACAAGGAATGTACAACACAAAGTTTCACGGGAAAATTAAACTGATACACGACTCGACTAAGGTACAAGAGTCTCACCTATCATACTAGTAGTATGATATTGTATTATACTAGCGTGGTGTGGTATGGCTTAGCCGGTTTAAGGGCAACACAGCTTGTAGTCTGCAAACGCTGACAAAAAAAACATTTATGGCTGTTTAATTATGTTGTAGGTCCATTCTGATGATCTAGATCCCAACTTTGGTCACATACAGGTATAGCTATTTACAGTTGATAGTTCTAACGTTATTGCTACTTGCAGTTTGAGATTACAAGTCCTTTTACACTTTACTACAAATTGTGTACAGCTGTTTCAAAAAACTTTGAATACTGAATGCTATGATACTACATAGTCCATTTTAAGACCGCAAGGCATTTTTGCTGTAACAGTATGACGTCCAACAATGCATTTCGGTCTTGGAGTACGTAACGCAGGACCATTGTATTCAGTTGTCAGTGTCATTTATTAACTACAGTATTTTTTACTATTTCAATTTATACTGTAATGAAATATARATCGCTTCATCTTTTCACAGATAACATACGTAGAACCGTACTTTGAYGACGATGAGAAGAAAACTCGGCCCACTCCCTTCGAGCAGAATAACAATATTCGACGATTTATGTATGAGACGCCGTTTACTGCCAGTGGTAAAGCCCATGGGAGCCTAGATGAACAATGTAAAAGAAAGACTATTCTAACTAGTGAGTACATTAACTCTATATATTCAGGAACTTTGTCCGGGGAGTTATTTCTATTCCGCGTGTATTTGTTTAGAGTTCGAGTGGAATTTATTCAGTTATCAGTGCATGATTGGAGTTCGAGTTATCAATCATTGGTTGAGTTTCGAGTTATGAGGGGCCGTAAACTATCAACATTTAATTTTGGACCGTTCATTGGTTTCAACAAGGAAAGTTTTTGAGATCGGGAAAGATCGAGTAACTAATGCGAGTTATGATTTTTACAGCGTCCAATACTTTCCCGTATGTAAAGAAAAGAATTCTGGTTGTGCAGGAAGARCAATATGAGCTCACACCCGTTGAGGTAAAACAATACTTGTCATTGAAATAAAAGAAATGGTCAAATAAGAGAAACGTCAGTRAACTAGAATTGACATTATTTCTTGTACCCAGGTTGCRTTCGATGAAATGCAGAACAAGGTTCGTGAATTAGAGCAAGTTATTTCACAAACCCCCCCTGACATGAAGAAATTGCAGCTGGTGCTGCAAGGGAGCGTCAGCGTTCAGGTAARTGGAACAGTGGAATGGGAATTGAAATGGAATAGGAATGGGAATGAAAAGAAAGTTGTGCAAATAGAGCAGTAATTCAAAAAAAACTTGCAATTTCATTTCTGCATATGATTATCTGTTATAATATAAATGTAAGAGTGTGATTTATTTCGCCGTTAAATGCTCGAGAGCATGACTAACCGTTGCTATATCATAAAGCAATAAAGGATGGAATACCGAGCAAATGAAGCACGAGGAGATGTTGGGAGAACAGGAAAATAGGCTTAAAATCACGAACGCATTATCGCTTAAAAACCTGTGCCTTTTTGTTTCAGGTTAATGCTGGTCCTCTCGCCTATGCACAAACGTTTCTGGATCGCACTGTTGTCCACAAATATCCTGTCAAACACATCGAGAAGCTTCAACAAGTTTACAAGTAAGAMGTTTTACAGAATATTWCGAAGCATTGTGTTTAAATGTTGTTGTTGCGACGCAGACCCCTGGGTTAAAGAATTCGGCTCTTGAYTYAGATATTAATATCTAGCTATTTGTAATATTTCCAGGGAGTTTATAAAGTGTTGCGGTAAAGCACTGGACATCAATCATCAGCTTATTAAAGAAGATCAACATTTGTATCACGACGATATGAAAGACAAATACACACAAATGAAGTCTGAACTCGCCAGATACATCGATGAAGAGGTAACACCTCTCCCTATCTCTGTCACCTAGCTCTTTGAATTATCTCTTTTTGCCAACATTTGTACATATATTTAGCTTCCTTCTAATCAGATTTTTTTGTATTTTTACCTTGCTTTAAAGTTGTGCCTTTTTCCATTCGTTTCTTCTTTTGCCATTTTTTTCGCATTGCATCTTAATATCTGTTGATCAACAGAATATCTTTAGTTACTCCAGCTGTTGTTGTGTTTTCCCACATTAATTGTTTTTGTCTTTCCCAGCACCCACCTTCCATGAGAAAGACTGGAAGCGTATCGCCCTTGGGTCTACGCAGCTAGTGGGTGCGAAAAATGCCGACTACTAGTACATTTTGGTTGAGACTTAACGTCTTCAAATTATTAGCATACTAGCACAATGTAGTAATATAAAAAATAAACCTACAGAATGTTGTAGGAAATAATCACAAATATTCAATTTCAAAAGATTTCATTATTTTCGTAGGTGAAAATGTAGCTTTTTTAACACTTGTTACATATCAATTTGATAATATAAGTTGTCAAAAATAATTATCGCTCGGGGRAGGGGTGCGCAGGGATTTGGGGCGAATATWCCYCAGAAGACCCGGGGTRGGRGGAATTATCTWATTGCAACCAATCAAGAAWAACACGACTGCATTTCGTTCAAATAGATGTWGTGACTRAAYSMTTTTATTAMAGCATTATGCGGACGTGATCGACCTAAAAATACGTTWTGAAGGGTAGAAAAGAGTCCAATTTGTTTAATTATTCAAAGACTTCAACAAATTAATATTATAATAATTATATTGCAGAACTATACAATATTGAATTTGGAATTTTCATTTTTAATAACAAGTATTGAACTGATCAAAATTCTCAAAGTGAAACTTCATTAGGACAAATATTATTATCTCTAATAATTATCTAATGCTGGGTTACGACTGGCTCGACTTTTGGCGGGAAATCACGAGCACGCACGCKCCCAARCATTTGGCGGGAATTCTYTACGGCGTGCGTCAAATGTGAWTCTTATCATAAATGTCACTCTTCATTTATTTAACTATTTTTAGAGTATATTCACTATATCCGCGATATAATTTACTAGCAAAATTGTGTATTAGTGCCGAAATAATCGGTTTTCTTCTATTTTTTAATTTGTGTAAATTTGAGCGGTGTCTACACGGTGTTTCGTGGATGACGTGAATGTACTCTCTTCACCAGAAATTAAAAAAAGGAAAAATGTATGTTAGGTATTATTTTAATTTTTAATAATGTTAACCTGGATATCCGTTATTAAAAATGTCTTTAGAGACTTATACCACATGATTTGTAGTAAATATAGCTGAAACACTTTTCAAAACATCAATAAAAACAACACAGATCATTGAAAAAATAAAATCTTTTATTAACAATGTAACAATATTTGCTACTTTATCTAATATTTTATTYCTAAAAGAGAATGATTTTTACCGGACGATGCTGCAGCAACACTTTTATTTTAAAAAATCACCCGTTTTAATTAATTTATACTTCTAATATTGCTGCAGCATCGTCTCGACTAATGCTCTTTAAATGCCTATGTAAGACTTTAATAGTGCTTGCATTTGACGTCATCCAGTCGGAGAGCATTCTTTGTGTGGCATTATCGGGATCCATTCCGAAGTATTCTACTTTTTCTTTGGAGTACCCCAGTTTTCCTGCCAAGCGAGCCCAATTATTAAGACTGCGTGGATTGAGAAGCAGTGCCAGTTGTTCGATGAAATCGTAAGGAGCTTCACGAAGAAGTCCGTCTAAAAAGCCAAATGATCGTATTAGTTGAAAAGAAATCGATCTTATTTGTCAATGTGATTAGATTAGTCATTTTCGTCCGTCTGTGAAACAATTACTACTAGTCAGTGTTTAATAGTAACTATTAGTGTTTAGTATAGGCTACCAAAATACAAAATGCCTTATTTGTTATTGTCGCATGTCATAAGTTAAACTATTGGGAGCTAATAGGGGGTAATAGTATTTAATAGTACAATTTCTATTTCACAGACGGATGAAAATGACTATCTACTGCAAGGCTCCATAACATATCAGCCATCTTGATTTCAAATCATTGTTTCGGAGACCCACAGTTCATGCCCTCTCGCAGAGATTATCTAAAATCATTATAACCTCTGAATTGTCTTCGCACTTAAACGCCCCTTAAACGCTGCGATAACACTGTCCCACTAACTCACAAACCGTCCACTGAGCATGTGTGAGTGCATAATAGGGTCTAAAGACACTGACCGCTATTCAGTAGTTGGTGGTCTTCACTACTTGCACTGGGATCAGCAAGTTTGCGGCGGTTCTGTTCCAATCTCCTTGGGTTTCTGACATGCCTACCTCTTAATCCAGAGTGCTGAGGGTACGATTTTTCTTCGCGATTCTCTTGTAATTTCACCTCTAGAAAAAGATATTGTTTAGGAAGACCTAGTAAACACTGGAAACGACAAAAATACTGTTTTTAGCTTCTTTTTTCTTTTGTGACCTTTTTATCCCATTTTCTCTCAACTATGATTTCTCCTCCTTTTTTGCCGTTTTTTTTTAATCTACCTTTTGCGGTTGGTTTATGTWTACCTATAGAAGCTTGGAGCTTCTGTCAATGACATTCGGTTACCTTCTTCAACGTCGTCATCTAGGGATCGCTCATGGCCTTTGTGCCGCCGCTGCCGGAAGCAACATATACAAATCCCTAATATAAATAGGACCACGACCACGGCCACGACTACTAAAACTATTATAGTGATAGGGGCTTTCGTCTTTGGTCGATGRCTTTTGCTTTTTGTCGTTGATAGTGTTTCTGTTCATGAAAAATAAAATTAAAAATGTCATGGAATTGACCTTTTCGCGGTTGATTCTAAATCGGGAAGTACGTTTTCGTCGGTCCTCAAGAGTCAAAATAATGACTTTTATCATGAGAAAAATTATTTTCTTGACTTTGCAAAAAGATAAAAGCTAGCTAAAAAAATCAATTGTGGGTTGTTGACCTATTATTCTTCTCACTCAAAACCACAGGTTCCTCGCGCTACTTTTCTAACCGCGAAAAGGGCTATAAAAGAGGAGTAACACTGCCGAAACATGTCTGTCAAACTACAAACATTTGTCTTTATACAACTTCACTCTCCAAATAGTAATAAAATTGATGCGCTTTGCTATGCTGCGTTGCCGAGACATACGGAGTTGGCAATTTGAAGGAGTGGTTAAAATGSATGCTGTTGATCTGTCTATTTCAGTTGCTTTTGTTGGCGGTGGTGGAGATGTTTTTTTTGTGTCTTTTGTTTTCAATTGTCAGTCATAACCTGGTGAAGTACACTGTGATATAATGATGGATATTAAATTCAAACAAACCTTTTTTGGTTATAACGGGTATCTTTGGTGTTTTACTTGTACTGCTAGGATAATAAATATTTCTTGTTTCACATATCGTATTTTTCGTAGAGTTACACGGTTCCTTTACGAACAAATCCAACCCGGAACATGAACTACAAGTGTCACAGGGCCCCATTCTAGTACTGTTGGAGTATGTCTTTCCCTAKAAATCATGAACAAATGCATGAAGTATATAATACAAACAATAATCTTGCGTCTAACAGCTATGCCRCACCAGCAAAGAGGAGCCTATCTCGYGCTCACCTCTCTCGAAATAAGTTCTATTTTGTAGCAACATGACAAAGTGGGCCTTCGCATTAACACAGGGAGTTGATCTGTGCATCATTCACTAACCTGTACACATGGTTTGCAGTCCGTATTACTTTCTGTCGCACATTTAATAATAGTTCCTTGACCAACAGGACAAATTGTGCAATCGATGCAGAAGAGYACTCCAGTATCGAAAAACTGACCTTTGGGGCACTCGCAAACAGCATCTTGGCYTCTTGTGCATTTTTTCCCAATAATTTTGGACTTAGGGCAGTCCTTAGTACATTGTTGACATTTGGACGCGTTATTTGGTTTGTTGGTAAATGTGTTATTCTAACGGATAAAGGAAATCAAATAATAGTTGATCAGAAAAGAGAGAGAGGAAATGAAATAGGCAAGAAGGAGAAAAGATGAAATAAAATAAGAGTGCAAGAAAAAAGAAGAGAAGAGAAGAGAAGAGAAGAGAAGAGAAGAGAAGAGAAGAGAAGAGAAGAGAAGAGAAGAGAAGAGAAGAGAAGAGAAGAGAAGAGAGAACTAATATTTTTAAAATAATTGAAAGGCTTACTGGACAAGGACTGCATTGACAGCTCAACGCAGATTTTAAATATTTCCCTGCAGGGCACAGTGGACAGGTTGCAGTAGTGCATGTTTGCACCACCATTCCCGCAAAAATCTGAAAATTGAATAGTATCGTTAAACTTTTGGTGTGTGTTTGCTCTAAACTGGCAACATTCCAATGGTATGAACCCTAGCACTCCAAAACACAGGTTATCTGACCAACATATTCAGGAGTTTACTTCAAACRTTTTACCAAACATTCCAACATCAAACTWTGGCTTAAAAGCAAACATTCCTTACATTGTATCTCACTGACAATTTTGACCAACATTAGAAAGTGAAAGTGGTAATATCACCTCAAGTGCCACTGAGACGTYTTGGCACCGGGTAGTTTATTCAGACTTTAGAGTTTTTTAGCGGGATATGYATAAAATATATAGGTATTTCATACTTAATTTATGATAACTACGTATAACAGAACAAAGGCGGATCTTTATATTTTTTAACTACTATACATGTACTTGGATACAGTTTTCCTGTATTTAGTTTTCCATGTGACACGACCTGAAATTATTCAGTGCAAACATTTCTCGCTTTCTAAATAATGCCTTATTCACAAGAATTTGAAAYCAAAACCCATTACAAAGAGAAAACTACCAATTCAGCCGATACGAAGTCAGAATATAACCCATAGAAAGAAGCAATGGAAAATAATAAACTCAATGACAATGTTGAGTCTCACAAATCCAAATTTCACAGAACCAGAAAGTTATAAGTTGATGTCCATTATTTCTGTATAAAATTTTTAAAAAAGGAAGTATTCATTTTGAAATGAAATTCTTTGTATTTTCAAAAAGGAGGCTGAAAACAATTCGTTGTAAACTGAAATCTTGCGTAAAAAGACCGCGTGCAGTTTGTAATCACAACGTCTCAGCAAGAGGCTTAAAAGGACACAAATTAAATGAATTGGGTTCAAACTGTGCCTAAGAAAAAGTAAATAACCTTTAGAAGAATTAAAGGAAATGCTTGATTTATTAAAATAACCTTTTAGACTTGACGGAAATGCTGTTGGTTTCCTTTCAAGCATGGCGGCTCGAGGTTGCACCTGAAACTGACGTCCCGCACTTCACACTCGATCGGTACCTCGAAGTTACGCAATTTTGAAATTAAAAGCAAATTTAATAAGCACAACATTATATTTTCTTGTAAACAAACGCTATACCAGAATGCATTTTAACTTAACGACAATATATGGGACAGTGTTCAACCAGTAACGAACTACAGTAAGCCTATTAAGTGMGTCAGATGGGAAGCCACTAAAATGTTTAAGAAAATTGAGCAAAAACGTAACGTGGAATACTTTAAAGTCAAACCCATACAACACTAGTAACACATTAATGAATAGCTTCATTGAATTGTCATTCATTATTTCGGAAAAGTACGTCGGTTCGAATCGGCTGCGTGGATAAACAAGTGTGGTAGCCCATGTAGTTATTACTATGGGTGGCTCAACAAGTAACTTCTTCAAGATAATTCAGTCATCTAAAAAGTAGCTTTTTCCTTGTTCTAAACTGATTTAGATTACGACATATTAAAAACTCTCTTCTCTTTGCTAAAACAATGCTTAGTGTTTTMATGACAGTTAGACTCTGTCAAAAGAGCACCGCTCAATGAGCRGCCTTGTCCCAGCTCATTTTCATACAGTCTCTTCGAAACATATTGATTTTGTTCGTTGTAAGATTTGTTCTTATTGTTGCGAACGATATCAATAACACTTTATAGTCATTCCAAATGTTTTTCTACTTGTAAATAGAGGCGGAACAATTAGCRTTACGTTCGACGGACAAGACAAAAAGAAAGCACTACATCTAGTGAGAAAAGCCGTTACTTCAACAAAGTCCACAATTACCTGTGTTTACTTGTATGCTATTGAAATTGACTCTCGACTCAGTGAGTCGTCATTTATATCCTTTCTTTATAGCTGTTATAGTCTAAACGTTATTGCAACGAGAAGGTCAAAGCTCGATACAGTGACCCGCCGACGAAACAGCATGCAAACTACTGGAAGTGCATGGGGTTTTATTCTAACTCGATATTTCACCACAAAAACYATCTAAAATACTAACCAACAAACAAAACACTTAACCATAATGATGGTATTTGAGTTTGTATAAGTTATCAGCTCAAACCACGTTGTTTTACGCGRCTCACTTATGCGGCTAAAAAAATGTGCTGAGGTTGTGCATTTGATTGAATGGATTTCAGTAAACACATGTGGGGAAAATAATTGCTCCTTAGAGATTATCCGAAACCCAACCTGTGATGAAACTAGAGACGAAAATAACAGTGATCATGTAAGGTAAGACGAATCCTGGCCAAAAAAGAGGTTTAGAAGCTATAAAATCACGCTAATTAATATAGCCGAGTACTGAACTGTAAGCTTACGATTTCTCTTGAATGACTTTTGAACGGTTTATACTTAACTTACATATAACAGGAGKTTAAGCCTATGATGTCTTGAGATAGATTAATAATACAACATTTACGCTTCAGTGTTGAACGTCATGTACTTACAAGTATTTTTATAGCCATCATTTTGAGGAGGGAGAGGTTCGGCATCAAAACAGATTTGTCGAAAACAAGTCACTATGCATGAGTTCCTTCACTTAGCAATGCCGGTTTGCCGTCAACGGTTTCGCATGCAAGGAATCGATCAACCTCGCTTTAATATACCTTCAAAAAGATGAATAAGTCAATACGCCATCACTACGCCATATARWATAACGTTTAGTCTACGWTCGCGTTTGTCAGACATCAAAAGCAAGCTGGAATTGAGTCACGCTGCTGMCAGGATCAGGACAAGCCTGAACGTGTTCGGAAATAGAGTGCTGTGATTGGTCAACTGGTTCTATTGTTTGTAATTTTATCGTCACGGTAGGTTGAGATGGAACAGTGACAAGAGGATAAATATAGTCACGTTGTGTTTATATATAGATTAGGTAAACAAATSGACTCTCCTTTCAGCTTACGTTTGATTCATTCATTTGCAGACATTGAATAATAAATTCTCTAAGTGCGAAAAACAAACAGCTCGTTTTTTCGATGTTTTTGTCGYTATTGCTCAAAGTGGGTGGTCCCCAAGCGTGGGACATATATGGTCAAAGCATGAAATCGCAGTGATTTCGTCCACTGTTTTCAACGTTCCAATAAGCTAATGGTTTCTAAAATGGTTACTAATTAGTGAACGTTAATTGATTTTATCATCTTAATTGAAAATGTATTAACTAACTTACCAATTAATTTGCAAGAGCCGAGGTCTTGTCAGTCTATACTCGCAACTTTAAAACTAAACTGATACGGATCCAAAGTCCTTCAATGTGACCTCAAAGTAGAATACATCGAATTACAAATAAATCGGCGTTTATAATGGGTCTATAATGGAATTTCAAATATGCTTTGTCAGTTTCGGCCAGCTTTCCAGGTCGGGACAAGTGCTGTTCGGGGATTGATATTGTTGTCAATGTTTAGACATTGCGTTTGACTAGTTGCGAATGAGACGAATCGATTATCAAAGATTCACCGGAAACAATAAAGCCACTTGATGAAAAGGAAGAAAATAACGCCTGAAGCTCAGTCAACTCGTCAACTAAGCTGTTTCCTGAGGAACAAATGTTTAATTTCGTGAGTTCCTGAGAGTTTTCTTGTTCTGTTTCTCAGTTTCTTCCTGTTTCCACTAGGTTTTGTTCCGTTTCATTCTCAGTATTCTTTTTCAACTGTTGCTAGTTTGTAGTTTTTAATCTGACGCAAAACTTGTTGAAGTTGGTTAAATAGAAGACTAAGTCACTGAACAGTTGTGTTGTTATTATTTTTGACAAATCTGACATGCAGGTTTTTCTAATCTTTCTTTCTGTCTCTTCCTCTCTTGGTTTTAATCTTTCCCTCCCGTTCTTTTCTATCTATTCTTCTTTTTCCTCGATTGTTAATTGTGCCCGCGCAGTCACTGACGAGCTTATAATTGAAATGTAGGCATTTATAACTTTGGGGTAGTAATTAAGCAGCCACTAAAGTTTAATGTACATCATCTATACTATGTACACTTGTCATCGTGCGTATTATATATCATGTCATAAATACGAACCATTTCTCAATCTTTAATCCACGAACGAAATTGTGGTTGATTTTCTATTGTAGCAGCCTTTCCCAAGTCATGTTATTTTATTTAGAATTGCAGACATTTCAAAAGTGAATTTTGAATCACTTTTCATAGCTAAAAGCAGCTTGATCAGTGCCGATTTTAAAAAATGCAAAAAGGTTGCAAAGTTTACTTTCTCATTTTGACTAGGGGACAACAGTTGCTTGCTTGAATAAGCGTATTGCATTAAGTTATACGCATCATTTCGGGCGATGTCAATCTAATGCACGTATTGCATCATCCTTGYACCATGCGCAAACTGAGTGAGTGACACCAYGTGTCTTCGTCCGAATGTTTGAACGTCCAAGACGCGTTTAGGATCATCGGGTGAAAACTTGCGAATTTGTAGTCAGATTATGATAGACTTATTTAAAACGGTTCCTGTTAGTAACATACAACATCATTAAAGAGTTACTGTCAAAGGTATCTATTAATTATATGGACAGTCTAACGTCATCGTAGGCATCTGGCAACTTCCTTTCGAACTCACCCGGGGGCCTATACAACTGACGGATTATTAAACCAGAGGAAGGTGCATGTACCCACAAATTGACTGCTGAGTACTATCATGGAAGATCTTGAACACATATGGCAATACAACACACAATCAGAACTTATTGAAAATTAAAATTGATTTTGAAAAATTCCCTGAGGCAAGAGTAGAATAACAATGGCGGCAAAAACCTCCCCTTAGCGTCGTTACWGATAGCTGCAAGTCTTCAGAATTCTCAGTTGAGCAGGCAATACTGTGCTATATGCATGTCAGTCTGGATGAATCAGTTGAACCTGCATGCTGACAAGGGCAAGATTCCAGTGTAATGTAAATAYGAGCCGAACACGACAGACGGTTGCAAGGTCTTGTTTGTTGTAGAGTGAGTTGTTCGTGGAGTACTTTGCGAAGCCGTTAAATCAGATTTACCAATAACTGTTCACACCTACTAAACTTTTGTCTGAGTCACACTTGGTTGACAATACACACTTATCGAGCGTCAACAAGCTCCTAAATCACTACATTAATCACGTAATCACACCACARGACAAACACTCTCACAGTTCCTGCTGAACGGATTATCGTTTTTACTGTATGAGCGCTACATCGCTGTAAAAAAACTCACAAAGACACACACAAACGAATACTTGACATTGTTCCAGGTATACATGGAGTACCAACCATCATAAACACTCTTCAAGCAAAGTGTCCAAGCTATACTGTAAGAAATTTCAACAACTTTTTAGAGGATGCATTAATGACTACTTAATCAGTTTTCAAGACTGTTTTTCCATGACAGCCATTACAGAATCATCTCAAGACAATCCTCATTTTGTTTGACAATCAATTGGTGTTTTGGACAGTTAGATCATACAATGATCATGATGATAATCAATGTTTATCACTTGTTTGAGACCCCCGGCTATACGAGCTCGACTTCATTAGTACAAATCAATACTAGTTGATCCAGGACATTGTTCATGAAATGCAACACTGCTGTAAATTTGATAACACGGACGACGTGGCCACAATTGGCAACAAAAACGTGACCTCATACATTTTTAAATGCAAGACTGCAAAATCTAAAGCATATTACCAGTTTGTTATATTACGATGACCATTTTATATTATCTAAACTGGCAGTGAATTCCATGGAAAATATGTCCTCTGGAATAGATCTCGTAGTATTAATTACAATGAAAGACAAAACTCAACTGCAGGTCACACCTGGATGACATCCAAGCACGACAATCAAACCACCAAGCGGCCTGTAACGTTACCTTGGCCGGTCAATTCCGCTAGGTTTTTTAAATGTTATCAGAAAAATGATATTTTTGAGACCCCTCGTTGTTGTTTACGTCTAGAGCTCCTTGTYAAGCGTTGCATGCACAAGGTTATGCAGCGCAGGTGCTCGACTATAAAGTTACAGAACGCGTAACGCCTAGCTTAAATACCGCGCTAATTTGCCACTCGCTTACCAYATCAGTTGCGCTCACTCATTTATCATTTTGAAAACAATCACTTTCCTTATTGACTGATTGCTTTGGCAGGTTAACATGATTAACTTTTGATACTGCAAGCCCTTCGTGATGATGGACTTTGCGTTAATCTACTTTTGTTTATATATTTGCCTCCCCTTGAGGAACTAAAGGTTATCGAGACAATTGTATATGCGAGCTAGGGGTTATTTTACGATAGCCCGGCTTCCATTAGCTACAATAGAATTACATATATATCATTTCAACTTAGGCTTATAATGATCTTAAATGCCATCGAATAACAGGATTACTAGATAAAACTATAGCCCCCCACGTGGGTTGATAATCTCTCTATATTGTTAAGTGGACCAGTTTTGAAGGCAATGGGGCGTTGGCGAGATAAGCATTCTTATTCCGTCCGTGATGACCGCAGTCTCAGGTAGAAATATGATCATTTTAACACCTTCTGAAATAGACATATTATAACAAGGCTATAATATTCCRCAACCTTTCATATGTGAATTAAAGTGGACACACACTGTCAAAGTTATGATTCAAGAAATTCATTAAAAACGCAGAAATTACGGTTTCCAGTCATCAAAGAATATGAAAATAGTGAAGAATTCTCAAGACAAACTTTCGTAAACGACAATTAGCTTATCTGTTACATTTATTTGAAAAATACATCACCTATTTTAGCTCTTACTATGTATTAGTATTTTTAAATTATATAGACTAGCGAAAAAATCAAATATGAGGATGAACTCCAGTGAAGTGTTACATTTATTGACAATCTGCAGACGTTACTTGCTGATACTTCTTAGATATCAGCGATGACATAGCAGTCTGCTTAGTACTGTACGTAGTGCTGTGTAGGTGCGAAGGTTACTTCAGTGTTTCACTGCCGTTTTTAGACTTAAGTTAAAGGAAAAGATCAATAATAATGAMTAGAAATRAAACTAGAGTTCGTCATGACGTTTCTCATCTTCCTCYCTAAAGTCCTCAGGTTTYCTTTGTCTCGTCTTCTCTATTGGCGCACCCGTTTGCTCTTGATTCGTGTCATTGTCGTCAAAGTCACCATCGTCTTGATTTTTCTTCTCTTTCTTTCTCTTTTCTTCTTCTTCCATTAGAGATAAATAGTCGTAGCCTTCAAGTAACGGCTCCCACTTGCCTTTTTTGAGTTGATCTGAAGAGAAAATGTCCAGGTCAAACGACAGGGAACTTGGACAGCTAATGACAAARCGTTACTATTATTCTACTGGCAGAGGATTAGTCTGAGCAATAAGAAACACGGYATTCATCGRCAAAAGAAAGAGAATTCAAAWTTCRAAATTATSGAGGAKGATTACTTAGTAAATGATCGATAAGGTCAACGTACTTGAAGGATTTTCTTCACCGTTTAGGCAACGCTTTATCCAGGCCGAGATATTGTTCAACGTCACTTTATTCCTGTACTGGAAAATCAAACCCTGAAATGATAMAAYRAAAGYCATAAACTGCAATTCTTAGWAACTTTCCTGTCCTTGTTTCATTGACGGATTGGAAATTTACGCACTATGACTTAGATATCAATAATCATCATCATTATTCATAAATTATTTATAATCATTAATATATCATTATCATGAATACCTTTTTACGATCCACGATGATAAGCACAGGTACGTCATTTTTTCCAGTATATGACTTAAGGATGACCTCATTGACGTCATTAGATGTCCTGTTTCCATGAAAACAAAGACGTCATGAATTATAATTTATACTTTAGACACACTAAAAACAAACGTAATTTTGCACTTGCACATTAACTTAAGTGAAACATATATATATAATATGTCATATTATCTGACAGATTGTAACAAACCCTATTCTTACCCCCCCTCCCCCCTCCTTCCTTTCAATCCAGCCCCTCTCAAACAATTAATATAAGTACTACATTTGATGCCGCTCTTTCAAATATAACTTTCTCTGAGTGGTGGACATGTACGGGGRGGGGRGGGGAGGGGAGGGGTTGATATAAGGGGACCACATGGTTCAGACCAGTAACGAGTTCACATACAATGACATCCACGTGAAGAAGATCTTSTGACGTAACGACTSWTCTTTGACCAGCTTCTCGAYGATTGGTGTDTATGTGTTGTCTTCCACTGCTGTTGCCCTGAACGCAATGAGAAGAGGACGGCCATGGCTATGGTACAGCGGTAAATTCATGGGCGTTAACTCCCCCTGTCATCAACAAACACATTCTAAGAATTTTGATATTTTCTGTGGGGATGCTACATGTGCTTATTGTGGTACTCTCTCTTGAATTCATTTACTGTTTTAGTAGTCTCCTTGATAGCATGTTTAATTGAAGGGCACAGGAAGCCGGCACTAAGACGGCTGAGAAAGAGACTACAATATAGCACTAACATACAAAGCTTAAGTTAGTGATTTTTTTAAATCAAAAAAAAAACTTTAAAAAACTGTTGGTTCGATGGGTCATTAACTTAACAAACAAAACAAACTTACAAAGGACTGCAAACTGTTCAAYCTCACAAAGTTCACAATGGCTGACACTGTGAATTCGCCATCGAACACTGAACGAGGTCTTACAGCGTCGTTACGCTTTATTAAAAGAATTCCTGGAGTTTTCACTCCATACGTTGTAGACCTAGAGAAACAGGATTACTCATTGAAATAACATAATTTGCATCCATAATCTATTAAAAAATGAACACTTGTCATAAATAGCATTATTACTATACCATCATTAACATCATCATTCTTATCATCATCATCATTATACAGTTATCATGCATTTCATAATAATTATATTATTGAATYAAAAGATAGCTTGTGTTTTACTTACATCGCCATTGCGTCTTTACCAGCAACAAAACCAAAAAYAAAAGAGCCAMGAAGTTTTTCTGCAGCCTCAGTGAAGACTTTCATGTCTATGTATGAAAACAACGTTCACGTCAGTGTCCTAGCAAYCCAGTAAATTGAATTGAATTGAGCACTTAAAATCGTATATTTACCAGATAAAATAATTTTACTGTACTCACCATTTCCATCACCTGATGAAAACAACCCAAGCACTGAAAAATAACTTGTCTTGCCGGCGTTCATTGGAAGTCTTCCAGTAAGAAATGATTCGACCTCTTCCTGAGTTTTTAGCCTCAAAGGAGAATCCGTTTTAAACCTGAAGGGAAAGAATTCAAATTTTAAGGTGGTGCCAGGCATTTTACCTTTTTTTCCGAACKTGCGTCATCTTAAAATGTTTATTTTGTGTTTAAGTAGTTTTTTGGATCAGTTATAGAAATAAGACTATGAAAGTTTTGAAAAATGCCAATTTTATATTGATCTGCGTTACCATGGCAACACCAGGTGCGTTTGGTACTCACATAAGAACAGTTTTAACGAGATTGTCTGAATCCAAAGGACCTTTGTAAATAAACTCATCCAATCCTTTCCTGTAGACAAGATAACATACAAAGTCTATGATCGGTACTACTTAGAGATGCGCGGTAAAACAACCATATCAATCGGTCTGAGAAGAGGCATTAGAAACTGTAATTGTGCCCTCTTAGCTTACCACGATTGTCAAGGGGGACCTACCGGTAAAGCTTGATTGTAGGATAAGTTGTGATGTTGTTCTTCTGACAGACATCTGTCCAGTCAAAGCAGTTTACACGAGCCAGGCGGATACTGAATTTCCCGACATCAATCGTCCCTAAAACGAAATAATGGTTATATGAACCACGTTTAATTGTTATTTTTGGTATAGAAATAATCGTCAATAATATCTATTAAAAAATGATTATTTGGAGACTGCATTAGAGAATGCACTGCCACACCCATCGKCAGCCATAATGCCTTTTCCATTCAATGAACTTTATTGATCTTTATTTGATGATGATCTATTCACCTTGTTCATACTTTCAAGGTCTTAGATGCGCGCGGTAAAACAACCATGATGATCTGAGAAGTATCCTAATGCATTTTTAACGATATTTACCTAAATTTAGAGCTGCTTCCACATACGGTCCTATCAAAGCTTGCGACCTTGCGTCCCCTAAACATAGCAAAACTCGTCGTAAGAC